GGGGGCTAGTCTGAAACCTCAGCGTACATGTACTCCACTGAATAAAATGTCTAAATAAATTATTCCAGATGACTTAAAATAGAATGCCATTTTCTAGCGACAGTGAATATTGGTATGAGCCACAGTATAGGAAGTGAGTTAGTAAGTTCCTTGTGAACCTATACTAGCTAGCTTACCTTTCTTTTCCAAAGTTGCTGTTTGTGATAATGAATTTGTAACACAACACATTCGCTCGTTCCCTCATCCACATCGTCAACCTGAATTGTGAAGTTAAAACGCTGTTTACTGCCCATTTTTGCGAAAATCTACTGTTGTCCAAGTGGCAGTAGTACGTGTACCACTGCGAGTCCGCACGCAGACATAACTCGCTTCGTTAGTTGGTTTGTTTTGCCTTTGCTTGTTTTGACGTGGTGTAAGATAAGGATAAAAAGAGGACAATGAGCCGTGTCAACACTGATTACGTGCCATCTATTGTATCAAGTGGGCCCATGAGGACACTCAACCGGGATTTTAGTTCTAAAATGATGTTTACGAACACAAGATAATGTTATATAAGGTATAAGGGCATTAGACTATACAATCGAGATTGTTGAAACAGAGGGGAAAAGGTGTTATTGGGGGAAGAGAGGGAAAAGTCTTTGTGTTTGAAGTTTTTTTCTTTGTTTATGATAACCAAGACTGTGTCTAAAGTTGCATAAGATAATTAATTTCGTCATCGAAATACAAGGCGGTAATCTGCTAGTAAGTCATGCTAAGTAACCTACTGATGAATTGTTTATTAACCTGCCCGCTGGCGCTATCGTTCATCGCTGTTTTTACACCTTACAAGGTTGACAAAACACGTTAATCAGTTTCAAGTACATCCTCCTATCTTAACAACCGATCGCTAAAAAAATTACCGTACTTGTAATTCGGTGTTTGTAAATTGTCTTTTGAACTGAGCAGTCCTTTGTAATATGGAGTAATTTCACGCAAAGGCCGATAAATTCAGAAAATTTCTTCGTTCTTTAAAGAGAAATTTGTGATATCATTCTGTAGTGCTTTCATTCACCTTCATTTTGCCTTTTAGTTATCTTGATAACTGTCTTGGTGCTACGAAAATTCCAAAACCGAAAACGGTATTTTCTCCCCAAAAACACAGGGTCACCTTTGGAAACTGCGCTTAAGCTCAACATTTAATTGGACTTTTGGGAAGTATATTTATTTCTGTAATGAAAAAAACTATTGCATTATTTTCATGATTGTATTCATTCCCCCCTTCCCCCTTAAGGAAGATATGCAATAGTGGGTACAGGGTGGGATATACAGTTGGTCACGTGCTCCCCACCGTACCCCTATACCCGTTAGTTTAGGGGGAATTCCCCCCCCCCCCCTTTCAAAAACAGTATAATAAAGACAAATGAGACAACACCAATCAAACCATCCATCCCTGTACCACCAATATGTACTTTTTGATACAGCGTAACTCGAAAACCGTATGGAATACAAAAAACCGAGACCACTTCCAGTATTGGGCTTTACATGCTCTACAAAATGCAAAAAAGAATGGGTCTCTAGCATTAACGGTTCCCGAATTAGAGACAGTTTTCAGTTTTGGTATCTTATGGCCGCTACTCCCGTGAAAATGCACCGATTGACCCCAAATTCATGGAGATGAAAGATGACCTGAAGGGTAACACTTTCCAATAATATTATTGGTTAAGTCTGTGTGGTGTCTGAATAACAGGGCAAA